TTGTGGTATTTTGGGAAAAATATATGAAGTTTCAGCAGGTATTATATATACAGTGCATTCAGAAAGTATTCAGACCCTCTTCACTTTTCTCAGTTTTGTTGTACTACAGTCAAACTCTACAGTTGTTGAAATTCATTTTTTTCACATTAATCTACTCGCAGTACCCTATAATAATAAAATAAAAACAGAATCTTAGAAATGTTTATAAATTTATTAAAAAGCAAAAGCAAAAACTGAAATATCACATTGGCATAAGTATTCAGACCCTTCACTCAGTACTTTGTTGAAGCACCTTTGGCAGCAATTACAGCCTCAAGTCTTTTTAGGTATGATGCGACAAGCTTTGCACATCTGATTGGGAGATTTTTGTCCATTCTTCCTTGCAAATCCTCTCAAGCTCAGTTAGGTTGGATGACAACTGTTGGTGGACAGCCATTGTCAGGTCCCTCCAGAGATGTTCAATAGGGTTCAAGACAGGACTGTGGCTGGGCCACTCTAGGACATTCACAGAGTTGCCCTAAACCACTCCTATGTTGTCGTGTGCTTAGGATCATTGTCATGTTGGAAAGTGAACCTTCAGCCAAGTCTGAGGTCTTAAGTGCTGTGGAATAGGTTTTCATTGAGGATATCCCTGTACTTTGCTCCATTCAGCTTTCCCTCAACCCTGCTGCCATCACCATGCTTCACTGTTGGGGTGATATTGGGCAGGTGATGAACAGTGCTTGGTTTCCTCTAAATATAACATTTAGAATTGAGACCAAACAGTTCAATCTTGGTTTCATCAGACCAGTCTGAGAGTCCTTCAGATGCTTTTTTGCAAACTCCAAGTGGGCTTTTGTATGTTTTACATTGAGGAGAGGCTTTCATCTAGCCACTCTATCATAAAGCCCAGATCAGTGGATGGCTGTAGTGATGATTGTCCTTTTGGAACTCTGTCCCATCTCCACACAGGATCTCTGGCACTGAATCAGTGACCAACAAGTTCTTGGTTACCTTTCTCACTAAGGTCCTTGTTCCCTGATAGCTCAGTTTGACTGAGCAACCAGCTCTTGGAAGAGTCCTGGTTGTGCCAAACTTCTTCTATTTAAAATTATGGAGGCCACTGTGCTCTTAGGAACTTTCAGTGCAGCAGAAATTTAATTGTAACCTTCCCCAGATCTGTGCCTTGCAATATTCCTATCTCCGAGCTCTGCAGACATCTCCTTTGACCTCATGCCTTTTGTTCTGCTACAGTATGCATTGTCAGCTGTGGTGCCTTCTATGGAGAGATGTGTGCCTTTCCAAATCATGGCCAACCAATTTAATTTACTACAGGTGGACTCCAATCAAAGCATATAAACATAATAGCAACAATCAAAAGAAATGGGAGGCACTTGAGCTAACTTTCAGGTGTTGTTGCAAAGTGTCTGAATACTTATGCAAATGTGATATTTCTGTATTTTCTTTTTAATAAATTTACGGACATTTCTGTTTTCACTTTGTCATTATGGTGTTCTGAGTGTAGACTTATGAGCAAAAATGAATTTCAACAACTATAGAATAAGGCTGCAGCATAACAAAATTGACAAAAGGAAGGCAGTCTGAATACTTTCTGAATGCACTGTAAATAAAATAATGGTGACTTGAACTATATTGTAAAATAATATATCCCACTATATCTTTATGTACACAATTTGCTAAATTATATTGTATCTTCAGTTTTGGGGTTATCGTGTTGTTGGAAATCTAGATAGTTTTTGTAACCATGACTTATCACTTAGTTTATTATGAGATTCCAGAAAAACTGAAGTTTGTTCCACAATAAATCAATAATTATCATTTAGTGTGATATATGAAACCATCCTTGGGAATATAATATCCCAAACAATTTCTTTTGTTATATATTCCAACAAATTAATACCCTTGTGAAAGCATGGGAAAATATTCATATAGAGATTTCCACAACATTAATTTCTACTTTTTTCTTGATAGAGAGGTGACTTCCTTTGACAAAAGCCAAAGACTCACAGAGTTATATCCACATGGAACTGGAACTAGAAAGATTCTTGAAGGAGTATGGGCTCATTTCTTTTTGCCACACAAAAATCTGAATAGGAAGTTCATGGATTAGAAAACCATACCCATAAAATAAGCTAAAAGGTGAAAGTGTTTATTGAGCAACTCAGATAAAATTAATATTTTAATTGCAAAGTATAATGTAGACAAGAAATATCCACAGATAAGGCAGAAAAAAAAGAAAACATTCAGTAGAGGAGAAAATTTAAAATACTGCTCTTGCCTAAGTAATTTCAGTAAGTATAGGGTAGCTTTACTAAGTACACTTATAATGAGCACCAAACTATTTGTCAAATATTCCATCTTATATACTTTTTAAAAGTATTGGAAGGATAGTGGCATAGGTAAGCAAAAACCTGGATATAGCCTTTGGTAAAATTTATCAGTAGCTTGGATGAAACTAGTAATTCTCAAGACATTTCAATAATATATCATCCTGGCATACACTCATTTATCCTCCTTCTCCAGATGTTAGCTCAATTTCTACCTAGTTCTAAGAGTTTCAAAAACTTTGATGATGTCCTATTATAATTATGCACCATTCTAATTAAACTTCTTGTCTTTTTTATTTCTAGTACATCAAAATCTTATATGACATAGTACTAGCTCACCCATCCTGTCCATTCTGCCAGATATCTGGTCTTGCCAAAGCACTTCTAAAGGAAAGAAATAATACCCTTGAGTTAAAGTATGTGAGAGTGATGTGCTTAAGGCATCAGGCTAGACAGCACATTTTAGTCCATCTTAGGAATGAAACAAGCTGTGTTATTTTAGGCTACTCATTCTTTCAGCACTAAGAAAGAGGCAGTGGCAAATCCTTGCTGAAAAACCTTTCCAAAAAAATCACAGGGATGTGTCCAGGCAATCACCAGGAGTTAAAGGTGACTCAAGGGCACAATAAAATATGTGAGCAAATTTCCATTGTATGTATTAAAAGTATGCTTTTGTGAATATAGCTAATAACTTTTATGATCATGATTTATGTATTAGTTTGCTTTGACATTCCAGCAAAGTATAGTTTATTCCATAATAAAACCACTAATCATAATTTAGTGGGATAGTTTCTTCTGTTAGCTTTTTCAAGACTTAAACAATCTAGTGAAGGAATGGTGAAAATGTTCATAAATATTTGCAGATCTGCAGAAATCTAATATTTACTTTATCTTTATTCTTGATAAAATGCTGACTTCTTTCAGCAAACCAAGGGCTCAGATGGACATCTCCAGATGGAACTGGAATTAGAAAGACTCTTAAAGAGATATGGGCTCATTCCTTTTTGCCACACAAGATATGAATAGGAGGTTTGTGGATAAGTAACAACCATCTACAAAAAAAAATATCTAAAAGTTGAAAGACTTTATTGAGCAAAGCAGAGCAAAATAATCTTTTAACAGCAATGTACAATGTAGACAAGAAATATCAGATAAGGCAAGAAAACAAGACAGCAACATTCAATAGAGTGTTGTAAATGTAGGAGAAAATTTCATATCTCTGTTGCTGAAAGCCCTTCACCCTTAGCAAAGGAAGTTACTATGGTTGCCTAGGTCAGGAATCCCCAACCCCCAGTCTATGGACCATAACCGGTCCACAGCATGCCGGTTATGGGTTGTACAAATAAGTGAAGTCCCATCCATGGGATGCAAGCAGCACACAAAACAATACCCCCTCCAGTTTGTTGAAAAATCTCTCTCCACCAAACCGATCCTTGGCGCTCAAAAGGTCCCTGGCCTAGGTGATTCAATAAGTATATGGCATATTACTCAAATATACTTATATTGATCCACAAAGCACTAGGTGAATCTTCCATTGTGTATGCATTTACAAAAGTATTGTGAGGTTGGTGGCAGAATATCCCAAAATAGTGACATGGCTTTTTGTATATATTATCAGTACCTTAGATGAAAATGGCTATTTCTCAAGCATATTTCAGTAAAATATCATCCTTGTTATAGATCTATCTATCTTCTCTTCTCCTGGTTTTGTACTAGAGAATATATCTTATCTCTTCTACTTTGTATCAAGCCATAAGATTTTCGAAAGCTTATTTGGTTATATATCTAATAAATTGTACAGCTTATTAAAATTAAACAAAATCCATATTTAATTTCTTGCTTTTTCATTTCTTGTGGTTATGAAAAAATTATGTGAGATAGTATCAGCTCACCTATATAGCCCATTCTGGCAGGTATCTGGTCCTGCCAAGTAACTTCTAAACAAAAGAACTAATACTTTGAGCTAAAGGATCTGAAAACCAATTTGATATAGAAGTTAAGGCATCAGGCTAGAAACTGCAAGTCTGGGATTTCTATTCTACCTCAGGAATGTAGCCAATTTGGTGACTTTTGGCCAGTCCTTCTCTCTTAGTCCTTGGAAGCAGTCAGTGGCAAAAACAATGCCCAGAAAACTGCAGAGGCTTGTCTAGGCAGTAGCCAGAAATTGAGACTGACTGAAAGGCTCAAAATGTCAAAGTCTGTAAGCAATTGACTATTTCAGGAGGGAAGTGTTATAGACGCTTATGTAGTTTTGGAAAAACTGAAGGTGTAATTAGCCATGTCATAAGCAAGCAACAGAAGAAAGCCATTTTATACAGGAAAGGACAAGGAAAAATAGGCCACATCGTTTAAAACTCCTCTGCCTGTCAGGTATTTCCACAAATCAAATTACACCATGATCCTCACTTCACTAAACATCAAGAATTGTCAGCCTGTGGACTGCCATAGCTATCAAACATCCACATTTAGCATCTGTAAAAGGCATTGACAGTTAGGAATGCAGAATTTTGCTAAGCAAAATTTGATGCTCTATGGTTCTCCTTTGAGAGGTTGGATTTGCCTGCATCCAACTAATTCTTTCTAACAGTATTCATTTAGTCAGAGAAGTAAAAGAAAGACCAGGAAAATGAAAAACCGTGGTGAACAGAATAAAAGCAACATTGAAAGAATTTTTCAGAATCTCCACAGTTGAGAAAGGACAAATTTGATATTATTATTTCTCATGCTATATATAATTGGATTAAGCAGGGGTGGAAGGAGGGAATACAGAACAGTCAACCCAAAATCTAAGTAAGATTTAGTGTTAGAGGGAGATCTCACATAGGCAAAGCATCCACTTAATACTAACATAGACACTACTATAAGGTGGGGAATACAGGTGGATAAGGCTTTTTGCTTTCCTTGCTCAGAAGGAATTCTCAATACAGCCTTGAAGATCACTGCATAAGATACAATAATGAAAGTAAAACAACCTAGTCCAGCAATGAAACTGGCCCCAAGAATTCCAACCTCAACTAGACTGAATCCAGAGCAGGATAGTTTTAGCAATTGTGGAACATCGCAGAAGAATTGGTTGACCACATTAGAACAAAAAGGGACTGAAAAAGTGCCAGTGGTCTGCAACATTCCATTAAGAAGACCTGCAAGCCACACTAGAATGATTATTTCAGTGCAGGCTTTCCAATTCATCACCATCTCATAGTGCAGTGGGTGACAAATGGCTACATACCGATCATATGCCATGACTGTCAGGAGGGATACATCAGAGGCTTCAAAGGATAGAAAGAGAAAGACTTGAGCAACACAACCAAAATAAGAGATGTGTCTGGTGTCCATGAGAGAATTTATCATGGATTTGGGGATAATTACTGAAACAATGCCCAAATCCTGTAGAGCCAAATTCATGAGAAAGAAGTACATGGGGCTGTGCAGTCGATGGTCAAAAGCTACCGCAGAGATGATGAGAAGATTTGTTGTAACAGTTGCCAAATATAACACAAAGAACAATAAAAAATATAAAAGCTGCAGATGCCGATTCTTTGAGAATTCCAGGAGCAGAAAATAAGGCACTGTGGTTTGGTTATCCATTTTTTATTAATGATAAAGTTGGGATAACTGCAAGGAAACAGAGTATGGAGAAAATATTAGATAAATTACACTTTGACATGTGGTGGGAATAGAAAACCCAAAGAAATGTAAAGCATGGAAAGAATGAACAGAGAATCAGAGTAAGGAAAGCGTAGATGTAGGATGGGGATATTAGATATTAGAGCATATTCATGTCAATTTCTATCCATCTGTACTAAAAGACCAATCTCACATTGTTCCTTCTTTTCTCTTTTCAGTCCAAGTACTGATCAAAAGCATTGCTTAGGAGTGGAAAAATCCTGTTCACATTCATTTTCATCAATAAAAGATTACTGGGAATAATTAGACCCATTATAATGTCTCAACACACCTACAGTATTTTTGAAAATTGGAGAATCTCTTATGTATATTATTTTTTTCTCAATTTCCCCAGCAGCTGTTAGGCTAAAAATAGCACTAAAAGACTTTAACTAATACATAAATACTAGATTCCTAAACAGGTATTCAATGATACATTATTAAATGAAGAAAATTAGAACTTTATTTACAATATACCTGCTATTTTGTTATTTACTTTGTGATATTATACACAATTATTCCACTGTATAATATATTTAATCAAAATAAATACATTTTTAACATTATAAATTAACAAATCCCCTTGTCCATCAATCAGAAGGAAAGTGAAATCTTACTTTGAAAAAAGCAGTTTCCTATCAAATAGAAACCAATATTGCCTATAGTATTTGGACAGAAAATGAGACACAACGTATTATAACTATGAATATTTTTTCAACACTGGAAAGTTATGTAAATACATTTTCAAGAATATTACTTAAATGTTTAAAAACTAAGAAATAAAAAGAGTTTTAGAAAACTTACCATCCATTTCTTTTACTCATAACCAAACAAATTATGAAATGATTTTGCTGATGTAATTTACCTATTAGTAATCAGTTCATGCATGAAAGTTTTTTCCAAATTTCTGAAAATTATAACTGTCTTTTATTTTTATAATTATGTGAAAAAGCTACCAACATGTTAAACATGTAATTAATTCATTGTTTTCTGTCTATATTGAAATCTCTCCAAAGTATATTCTCTTTTAAAAAATATTTAAATAATGTGTAGAATCCAATTTCTGAAATATTATCTTAAAAAAATAATTTTGTTCTCCTCCTCAAAATAGCCTCACTTCTTATTCCAGTTAATCAGAAAACTATTTTATGCAATTACAGTATTTGCCTAAATTCTCTTCCAGTAGAAAAATTATAAAGCCAGCCCTGAGACATGTAAGACATATAAAACCATATAAGGCATATTTAAATAAATACCACTTTGCTCCAGAAAAGATAGAAATACCTTTTCTGTTAAACTTTCAACCTAGAATCATTTGACTTTATAAATTATGACTTCTATGCTTTAAGAGTGTTAAATGTCTTAACATTAAGTAAATGTTGTCCCACCAATTTTCATGTAGTGAAACATCTATCTACAATCAAAGAGTTTCCTATTCTGAATGTTACTAATATTTGTTTTGTTTCCCTAAAGTGTCTTCTACACCAAAATAAAACTATCTTCTTTGGGCTTAATAACATAATTAGCAAAACAAAACAAAACTTACTCCTATGTGCTTATTAACAAAGTTATGAAACCAAAGTAAAACTGACATTATTAACATAAATTGGCAATTAACAAATGTATCACTTTCTCTAAATATTGCAGTACCAATTAATAACATGTAATAATAATATCTCAGAATTGTGTTAATAGAATTGGGGCTGGAGTCATACCAGCAGTGCAAATTGAGAGAGGTGAAACATAAATGAAGCGAGAAGACCTCTCTGAAGCATGTTGCATCCCTTAAGATTCTCTTTCACTTCTAGCTTTTAAAAAATTCCACCTGCCACAACTGGGGAAAGAGCTCCAACTGGGCTACTTAAGCCCACACTATTAATACAGGGGTAGATAATTTAAGCTTTTCTGCAAAAGAAAAGTGAAAGGCAGAAAACAAATTCAAGAAACCCACCAATAGAATAAGGTACATAATGAAACCATAGAAACCAATGGCTTTTGTGATGGGAGTGCAAACAAACCAAATGATATTTCATTGTTGTATACCAAGCCCTACCCTCTGTATTGGGCTGCCTGAGAAGATTTCAAATACATACCTAAAACAGGACCCATAGAAAAAGATAGAATGTAAACTCACAGAGATCTATAGAATTCCTATTATATAATAAGTAATACAGTAAATCCATAGCAATCCTTTAAAAAGAAACAGAAGTAGAAGAAAAGCAAAATAAGGTTTAGAAGGAAAGTTATATAAATACATGTTTTAGAGACTAAGTATAGATATTTTCATTTTTATTTAGAAATAGTCTTTATTTTATGCAATACATGATCTATCCACAAGATTATTGCAGAATATAATACCCCCCCCCCCCCCAAGGCCTATGACATTTCTCAGTGGTGGGATTCAGCCAGTTCGCACCACTTCGGCAGAACCGGTAGCTAGTTTTTGTTGTCCAGGCCCAGAATGGACTTCCAGAAGCTGCATCCACACAGACAACTGGTTGTTCACATATTTGAATCCCACCACTGCCACTTCCCCAGAGAAACCCATTATAACCCATTAGATAAAAGACCAAGGAATAATTTCCACATTTTTAATATTTCAGTATCTTTTATTCAAGCAAAGAACACTTGCAATGATTTCACAACTGTAGAATTTCACAAAAAAAAATCTGGTTAACAGTGTGAGAACAGAAGGGGATTCAGAAGGTGCTTCTGGTAAGCATCTTTCCATAGGGAAGTCTAGTATCCCCGAATTAAAATCACAATTTCAGTGCAGGATTTTTAGAAAGCAATATACAGTACACAGTAAGCTAAAAGTTGAAAGAGTTTATTGAGAAAACAGATGAAAACAACATCTTCAATTGCAAAGTATAATATAGACAAGAAATATCCAAAGATAAGGCAAGAAAAAAAGTAAATTTTAATAGAGGGCAAAATTGAAAATACTGATGTTGCTAAAGTGATTCCAATAAGCTTTGGCAGCTTTTTTATTTTATTAATTTGATTTACTAAGCACACTTATACTGAGCCTCAAAACATTTGAGAAATTTTCCATCTTGTATACATTTTAAAAAGTATTGAAATGATAGAGGCATAGGTAAGAGAAAAACCTGGATATGGCTTTTGGCATATTTTATCAGTAGTTTGAGTGAAACTCAGTAATTCTCAAGCACATTTCAATAAGATAAACTGTTGCATAATTATCTATCCTCCTTCTCCAGATGTTAGACCAGTTTCTATCTAGTTGTAAGGGTTTTAAAAACTTAGATGATCTCCTATTGCAATTATGCCCCATCCTAATTAAACTTCTTGCCTTTTAAATTTCTTATACTCATCAAAACCTTGTGTGACATAGTATCAGCTCACCCATCTTGCCCTGGGTGATGCCTAGTCTTGCCAAAGCACCTCTAAAGGAAAGAAATGCTATCCTTAAGCTAAAGCATGTGAGAACTTGTTTGGTGTAGTGCATATGGCTGATGTGCATTCCAGTGCACCTTAGGAATGAAACAACCTGTGTGACTTTAGACCAGTCACTCACTCACTCAGCCCTTGAAGGAGGCAATGGCAAATCTCTTCTGAAAAATCTTGCCAAGAAAAGAGCAGAGACTTTTCCAGTAAGCCACCAGGAGTTAAGGCTAACTCAAAGGCACAAAATACCAAAGTATGTGAACAAATTATCATTTAAGGACAGAAGAGCAGTGGTGGGATTCAAATATGTGAACAACCGGTTCTCTGTGTGGATACCACTTCCGGAAATCCATTCTGGGCCTGGGCAACAAAAAAATAGCTACCGGTTCTGCTGAAGTGGTGTGAACTGGCTGAATCCCACCACTGCAGAAGAGGTATTGCAACCTGTGGACTTTTGGAAAAGCTAAAGCTTTAACTAGCCATAGTATGTGCAAGCATTAGAGGGGAAGTCCATTTTCTACAGGAAAGTAGTGGGAAAAATAGGCCACACCATTTAAAACTCTTTTCTATTGCATTAGTTTTCGATAATCACATTACACCTTGATCCTCACTTCACTAAAGATCAAGAGTTGTCAGGCAGTGGCATGCATAAATGAATCTTCCGTTTTGCATATTTTTACAAAAGGAGTGGGAAGGTGATGACAGGGATAACACAAAATCTGGATATGTCTTTTGGTATATGTTATCAGTATTGTGTGAAACTCAATATGTCTCAGTCGCATTTCAATAATGTATAATTCTGGGTACACCCATCTATCTTTCCTTCTCAAGGTGTTGGGCAAGGGAGATTTTGTTATCTCTTCCAGTTTTTATCAAGTTTCTGAGAGCTAATATAAGGTTCTATTCTACATGATTCATCCTCATTATACTTTTTGATTTTTTATTTATTGTGATTATCAAAACATTATGTTAGATAGTACCAGCTCACCCAACCTGCCAGGTGTTTGGTCTTCCAAAGTCATTCTAAAGAAATTTTTACTCTTGAGCTAAAGTATGTGAGAACTTATTTGGTGCAATGATTAAGGCATCAGGATAGAAACTAGGAGTTTGTTAGCTCTTCTATCACTTTAGGCACAAAGCTAGCTAGCTGACCAGTCACTCTCTCTAAACTGTAGGAAGGAGGCAATGGCAATCCATTTCTGAAAAAATAGGCTGTCAGACATCCACTTATAGCATCTGTAAAGTGCATTGAGGGTGATTAGAGATGCAGGACATTCACTGAGGAACTTCTGGTGTCTATCATACTTTTGGTTTGAGAGGCTGGATTTGCCTTCATCCCACCTATGTCTCCCTGTATAACTTATGCTTTTATTCAGAGAAGTAAAAGAAAAGACAGGAAAATGCAAAATTGTGGTGAATAGAATAGAGACAACAATAAAAGAAACTTTCAGACTTTCCATAGTTTTGAAAGAACAAATTGGATATTCTTATTTCTCATGCTATAAATGATTGGATTGAACAGGGGTGGAAGTAGTGAATACAGAACAGTGAAACCAAAATCTAAATAAGATGGAGTGTTAAATAGAGGTCTCAAATAGGCAAAAAATCCATTTAAGTAAAACATAAGCACTACTATAAGGTGGGGAATACAAGTGGATAAGGCTTTTTGCCTTCCTTGTTCAGAAGGAATTCTTTGCACTGTCTTGAAGATCATGGCATAAGATACAATTATAAAAGTACAACAGCCTAGTCCTGCAATGACACTGGCCACAATAATTCCAACTTCAACTAGATTGAAACCAGAGCAGGATAGTTTTAACAATTTTGGAATTTCACAGAAGAATTGGTTGACGACATTAGAACAAAAAAAACCTGAAAAAGTTCCAGTGGCATGTAAAGTTCCATAGAGAAGACTGGCAACCCAAACCAGAATCATTATTTCAGTGCAGGCTTCCCAATTCATCACCATCTCGTAGTGCAGTGGATGGCAAATGGCAACATACCGATCATAGGCCATGACTGTCAGGAGGGATACATTAGAACCCAGAAAAGAGATAAAGAGAAAGACTTGAGCAACACAACCAAAATAAGAAATGTATCTGGTATCTATAAGGGAATTCACCATAGATTTGGGAACAATGACAGAAACAGAGCCTATATCCTGCAGTGCTAAATTCATCAGAAAGAAGTACATAGGTCTATGCAGTTCCTGTTCAAAGGCTATTGCAAAGATTATGAGTAGATTTGCTATTGTAATTGCCAGATACAACACAAAGAACAAGAAGAAACATAGCAGCTGTAGTTGCCAAGTTGCTGAGAATTTCAGGAGCAGAAAATACGGCACTGTGGTTTGATTATCCATATTTCATTTAAGACAAAACTGCATGGTATAACTGTAAAGAAGCAGAGGAGGAAGATGTAGTTAGATAAAAGTTGGAAGTGGCATTTTGATATAGGGTAAGAATAGAAAACTAAAAGAAGCATAAAGCATGGGCAGAATGAACAGAGGATCAGACCATTGGACAAATAGATATAGGATGGACATATACAGTATTAAAGCACATTCTTGTCACTTTCTATCCATCTATACTAAAGAACTAACATCACATTTATCCTTCTTACCTCTTTCCAGTTCTGTTACTTCATGTACTGATGGACTGCCTAGGAGTAGAAAAAAAACTTTTCAGGTACATTTTCATCCCTGGATTATTACTGCAAGTAGTGGACCCATCTCACAACTCCTACAGAATTGTGGAAATGTTGAAAAATTGAGAATGTCCTATGTATAGTGATTCCTCTTCTAGAAGAAAGGCAAAGTAAATCTAATAAATAAATATAACAATATCTTTTACTTGGAAATCTTGAGGCTAGATAATCCCCCTTATACAATGTATGTGTGTGTGTCTGTTTGTGTATATATGTGTCTGTGGGCTAAAAAAGGAGATGAGCACCATGCCCTAGAGTTGGACACAACTGAACAGGGAAACTGTTACCTTTAAGTACATGTTTAGAAATCAAGTTTGTATATATTAGTTTAAAATATTATTATTATTATTATTATTATTATTATTATTATTATTATTATTATTATTATTATTATTATTGTTGTTGTTGTTGTTGTTGTTGTTGTTGTTGTTGTTGTTGTTGTTGTTGCTGCTGCTGCTGCTGCTGCTGCTGCTGCTGCCAAATAGCTGCTGGGGCAAATGAGAAAAACTTTTCCTTCTTTCTGTCACACAACCCCCCCACACATATATACACAAACACAGACACACAAATACATACACACATACATTGTACAAGAAGGGATTATTTACTATTTATGTAGACATCTCTCCAAACTGGATTCTGATTCATATTACATTTAAATATATTGTCTGAGTAGAATGTTAAATCTCTCTCCTCATGTAATGAAACAGCTATCTGCAGTTGAAAAAAGTTCCTCTTCTGGATGTTTATTAATATCTTTCCTGTTTCCCTCAAGAATTCTGTACATTAAAATAAAGATAACTTTCATGTGCTTATTAACATAATTACATAACCAAAATAACATTTACTTTTGAGTACTTTTTAACATAATTAGCAACCCAAAGTAAAACTGATTTCTGTGTGCTTTATTAACATAATTGGCAATTAACAACTCTATAGCTATCTCTGAATGTTCCACTACTAGTTATCACATTGTATAACAATATATCAGAATGACAACAGAATTGAGGCTACAGTTATATCAGCAGTCTAAACTGTGAGAAGTGAAGCGAAGTGAGAAAACCTGCCTGAAACATGTCCTTCAAAGTGCTGCGGAAGATGGCGGACCTACCGGGGGTGGCTCCCTGACGAGCGGAGTCTTTCAGCAGAAATGGGGGCCTCTCGAGGGCTTTGCCTCGACCCCAGTTTGGGGAGCCGAGCGCGCCGGTAGCCTGTGGCCTGCTAGGCGACTCCCCGGTCTTCGGCTGGGTGGAGTCGCCGGATAGAGGACTCGGCCCGGCAGGGATCTGATGGATGGGGGCGAAGGCCGCAGCCCGGCGGAGGATCTGGCCGGGACTCGGCTCGGCGGAAGACCTGGCCCGGACTCGGCCCGGACTCGGCCTGCAGGCTCGGCGGGAGCGGAGGCCGCGGCCCGGCGGCCCAGCAGCCCGGCGGAGGATCCGGCCCGAAGGCCTGGCGGCCCGGC